AGTCTCCTGTGTTGCTTTTGTCCCCTTGTGTCCCTTGTATCCCTTGTGTCCCCTGTGTACCCTTGTGTTCCTTTTGTCTCCTTGTGTCCCATGTGCCCTATTGTGTCCGTTGTAATCCCTGTGTTCCCAATGTCCCCTTGTCTCGCTCATGACCCCTTGTGTCCCCTGCTACCTTTCTGTTTCTTTGTGTTCCCTGTGTTCCCTTGTGTCCCTTTTGTACCTTTCTGTCCCCTGTGTTCCTTTGTGTCCTCTAAGTCCCTATAGTCCAGTGTGCCAGTTCTGTCCTCTGTGTCCCTTGTGTCCCCTAGGTCAAGTTTTGTCCCCTGTCCCTTGTGATCCCTGTGTACCTGTTGTCCCCTTGTCTCCCCTGTGTCCCCTTGTGTTGACTGTGTCTCCAGTCTCCCTTGTTTTCAATTGTGTCCCCTGAGTCCCCTGACTCCCTTGTGTTTCCCCGTGTCCCCTGCGTCTCTTGTCTCCTTGTTTCCCCTCTATCCCTTTGTGTCCCCTGTGTTCCCTGTGTCCCCTCTGTCTCCTATGTCCCTTGTGTCCGCTGTGTCCCTTGTGACCCCTGTGTCTCCTTGGGTTCCCTGTGTCCCTTGTGTCTCTTGTCCCCCCCCTGTGTTTGTTGTGTCCCCTTTGTCCCATGTGTCCACTTGTGTCCCCTGTGTCCCTTTGAGTTCCCTGTGTTCCTAGTGTCCCTGGTCTTCAATTATGTCGCCTGTGTCCCCTTGTGTCCCTTGTGACTAGTGTTTCCCTTGTGTCCCCTGTGTCCTCTTGTGTGCCTTGTGTCCCCTGTCTCCCTTGTGTCCCGTGTCTCTTGCATCTCCTCTGTCTCTGGGTCCCTTGTGTTCCTTCTGTGCAAGGGGTCTCCTGTGTCCCTTTGTGTCCCTTTTGTCTCCTGTGTCCCTCGTGTCACCTGTGTTCCATGTGTCCCCTTGTGTCCCCTTTGTCTCCTGTCTCCCTTGTGTCCCCTGCGTCCTTTCTGTCCCCTGTGTGCCCAGAGTCTCCTGTGTCCCCATGTGTCTCTTGTATCCCTTGTGTCCCCTTGTGCCCCTTTTGTCCTCTTGTGTCCCATGTGTCCCTTGTGTCCCCAAGAGACCCCTGTGTCCCTTTGGTGCCTTCTCTCGCCTGTGTCTCCTATGTCCATCGTGTCCCCTGGGTCGCCTTTGTTATTTGTGTCCCCTGTGACCCTTGTGTCTTCTGTGTCCCGTGTGTGCCTTGGGTCAACTTATGTTCATTGCGACCCGTGTGTCCCCTGTGTTTCCTGTGTCCCCTATGTCGGTTGTGTCCCGTGTGTCGCCTGTGTCGGCTGCGTCCCTTGTGTCTCCTGTGTCCCATAAGTCTCCCGTGTCCCATAACTCCCCTGTGTCCCTTGTGTCTACTGTGTCCCTTGTGTGCACTGAGTCTCCCGTCTCCCTTGTGTCCCCTAGTATCCCTTGTATCCCTTGTGTACCCTGTGTCCCTTGTGTTGCTTGTGTCTCCTTGTGTCCCTTTTGTACTTTTGTGTCCCCTGTGTCCCTTATGTTCCCTGTGTCCCCTGAGTCCCTAGAGTCCCCTATGTCACTTGTGTCCCCCGTGTCCCTTGTGACCCCTGCATACCTGGTTTCCCCTTGTGTCCCATGTGTCCCCTTGAGTTGATTGTCTCCTGTCTTCCCCGTCTCCTTTGCGCTCCCTAAGTCCCCTGCCTCCATTTTGTTTCCCTGTGTCCCTTGTGTCCCCTGTGTCTCTTGTCTCCCCTATGTCCCTGTGACCTCTGTGTCCCTTCTGCCCCTGTGTCTCCTATGTCCTTTGTGTCTGCTGTGTCCCTTGTGTCCCCTATGTAACTTGTGACTCCTGTATCTCCTTGGGTGCCCTGTGTCCCTTTTGTCTATTGTGTCCCCTGTGTCCGTTGTGTCCCCTTTGTCTCACGTGTCCCCTGTGTCCTCTGTGTCCCTGGTCTTCAATTAGGTCCCTGTTTCCCTTTGTGTCCTCTGTGTCCCTTATGTCCACTTGTGTCCCTTGTGTCCCATGTTTCCTCTTGTGTGCTTTGTGTCCCCTGTGTCTTTTGTGTCCCCTTGTGTCCCTTGTTACCCCTTTGTCACCTGTGTCCCTTGTGTCCCCTGTGTTATCTGTGTCCCCTATGTCCCTTCTGCCTGTTTTGTCCCCTGTGTCCCTTGTGTCCCTTCTGTCCCCTTGTTTTCCATATGTTCCTCGTATCCCTTTGTGCCCTCTTGTCCTCTGTGCCCCTTTTGTCCCCATTGTCCCTTGTTTCCTCTTGTGTCCCCAGTGTCCTTTGTTTTCCTTTGTGTCCCTTGTTTTCGTCTGTATCCCTTGTGTCCCTTGGGAGTTCCTTTGCCCCTTGTGTCCCCTGTGTCCCTTTGCGTCCACTGAGTGGGCTATGTCCCTTGTCTTCAATTTTGTCCCCTCTGTCTCCTGTGTCCCTTTTACCCCCTGTGTCCTTTGGGTCCCTGGAATCCCCTGTGTCCGTTGTGTCTTCTTGTGTCCCTTTTGTCCCTTTCTTCCCCTTGTCACCCATGTATCCCCTTGTGACCCCTGTGTCTCTTGTGTTTCCTGTGTCCCTGGTGTCCCCTGTGTCTCCTGTATCCATCGTGTCTTCTGTCCCCTTGTGTCCCTTTTGTCCCTTGTGTCCTATGTGCCCCATTGTGTCCTCTTTGTCCCTTCTGTCCACACGTGTCCACTGTATCCCTTGCTTCCCCTGTGTCTCCTTAAGTTCCCTGTGTGCCCTGTGTCCCTTGTGTCTCTTGTGTTTTCCTTTGTCCCTTGTGTCCCATGTATCCCGTGTGCTTCTTGTATCCCCTCGGATCCATTGTGCCCTCTGTGTCCCTAGTGTCTTTTGGGTTCCCTGTGTCCTCTGCGTACCTTGTGTCCTTTTGTGTCTCTTGTGTCCCTTGGGTTCGCTTTGTCTTTTGTGTCCCCTTGTGTCCCTTTGTGCCCCTTGTGTCCCTTGAGTCGATTGTGTGCCCTGTGTCTCCTGTATCCATTTTGTCCTCTGTGTCCCATTGTGTCCCTTTTGTCCCCTTGTGTCCTATGTGTCCCATTTTTCCCTTGTGTCCCCTTTGTTCCTTTTGTCCCCTCGTGTCCCTTGTCACCCCTGTGTCCGCTGTGTCTCTTGCTTCCCCTGTGTCTCCTAAAGTTTCCTGTGTCCACTGTGTTTCTTGTGTCTTTTGTATTTTCCTTTGTCCCTTGTGTCACTTGTGTCTTATTTATCCCGTGTGTCTCTTGTGTCCCTTGTGTCCCTGTGGATCCCTTGTGACCTCTCTATCCCTTATGCCCCTTGTGTCCCATGTGTCCTATTGTGTCCCCTTGTGTCCCTTGTGTTTCCTGTGTCCCGTGGGTCCCTTGTGTCCCCTGTGTCTCCTGTAGCCATTGTGTCCTCTGTGTGCCTTTTGTCTCCTTGTGTCCCTGGTGTCCGATGTCTCCCATTGTCCCTTGTGTGCCCTTTGTCCCCTGTGTCCGCTGTGTCCCTTGCTTCTCCTGTGTCTCCTTAAGTTCCCTGTGTCCCCTGTGTCTCTTGTGTTTTTGTGGTCCTCTGTGTCCCCTTGGGTCCTTTGTGACCTCTGTGTCCCTTGTGCCCCTGTGTCCCTTTGAGTCTCCTCTGTCCCCTGTTTGCCTTGTGTCCCCGGCGTCCTTTGTGTCACCTTGTTTGCCCTCTGTCCCCTTGGTACTATTGTGTCCCCTCTGAACCTTTGTGCCCCCTTGTCCTTCGTGCCCCTTATGTGCTCCTATGTCCCCTATCTCCCTGTTGAAATATAACATAGGTGGCTCCTTTTACAAAATAATTTCCAGCATGTATTCAAGTTCAATATGTTGTGTGAAAGGCAATTATACTCGATCAGAATTTTTCAACTATGATAAAGGTGTACGACAAGGCTGTATTCTGTCGCCGCTTCTATTTAACCTTTATCTAAACGAACTACCCTTCATTCTAAATAACAATGCTAAAGATTCTATCTTACTACCAGATGGTTCTCACTTGAACTGTCTACTTTATGCCGATGATTTACTTTTAATATCTACCTCGGCAGACGGTTTACAACAAAGTCTTGACAGACTATCAAAATATCGTCCGGATTGGCTTCTTGAGATTAATCCAACTAAAACCAAAGTTATTGTATTTCAGAAAAAAGTAGAAAATCAGCAATAGATAAACACAATTTTATGGGTAGCAATGAAAACATTGAAATCGTCAATAACTATACTTATCTTGTAGTGAAATTTTCTGCCAATGGAAATTTTACAAATCACAAGGAAAACTTAACAGAAAAAACAAAGAGATCCTTTTTTGCCGCTCGTCGTTATCTAGATTTTCTAAAATTACCAATTCACATCATCAACAAACTGTTCAATACACTATTTTTCCCAATTTTAACGTATTGCTCTGAAGTTTGGGGAGTCTATGATAAAAGTGATTATAGCCGCTGGGATAAAGACTCGATTGGGAAAACGCATATACATTTTTGTAAGATGTGTTTAGGTTTAAACAAACGTTCACCGAATGTTGCATCCAGAAATGAACTTGGTAGATTATCTCTAAATTTACAAATAACAATGAACATTTTCAAATTTTGGATTCACCTTGAAAATCAACCCCCTGACAGCATCGCTAAACTCTGCTTAAACATATCGGATAAACTGGCCGAAGAAAATAAATCTGGTCTAATAAATAAAATAAATCTTTTGAGTACACAACTTAATATTCATAAACAGTCAGTTAAATTTAAAAACCCTTCTACTTTCCCATCCAAAGCTGAGAATAATTTGTCAAAACATCTGAAAAACCACCAGCTAAATTTGATAAGAACAAATAAAAAACTAAAATTCTACTCCATCTTTAAAAATGAAACAAATCACTCTGAATTCATCAATCATATCCGGAATCCTGAACGTAGGCGTGTAGCTTCCAAATTTAGGATAGGAAATCATAATTTAAAAATAGAAACTGGAAGATTTACAATCCCCAAAACTCCTGAAGACCTTAGAATCTGTGATCATTGCAACCAAAATTCAGTTGAAAATGAACTGCACATATTATTTCACTGTGATCAATACAATGATTTGAGAAAGACTCTTTTTATTAAAATCAACGACCGAAATACATTATTTACACATTACAATATCCATGATAAAGTCTGTTTTCTTTTTAACAATATTGATTCACATATCAGCAGGCTAGCTGCTAATTTCATCTTTCAAGCATTTGAAAGACGAAAGAAACATAGTTAATTCTACCGTTCCATCATATCTGCATTTCCTTGAACTTAGCTGTTTATTATTATTATTTTAATCGGTAACACCTGTACAAAATGGTAATACTGAATAAACTTGTTGTTGTTGTTGTTGTGTCCTTTGTTTTCCTTTGTCTCTTGTGTCCACTGTGTCCCTTGTTTTTCTTTGTATCCCTTGTGTCCCCCATATACCTTGTGTCTCTTGGAAGCCCCTGTCTCCCTTGTGTCCTCTGTGTCTTTTGTGTTACCTTGTAGCCCCTGTGTCCCTTGTGTTCCCTCGTATCCCTTGTGTCCCATTGGTCTCCTTGTGCCCTTTGTGTCCCTAGTGTCCCGTGTCCCCTTAAAGTAAAGTAAAGTAAAACTTTATTTACACAGGGTAGCCTGTTCAGCTGTAAGGCTGGTCCCCATAGGGGCGCTGTATCTTAAAAAATTTAGTTACAGTCCCCTTGTGACCTGTGTCCCCATGAGTCCCCTGTGTCCCTTGTGACTTTAGTCTCACTTGTGTTCCCGGTGTCCCTTTGAGTCCCCTGTGTTGCTTGTTTCCCTTGTGTTCCCCGTGTTCCCTTCTTTCCGTTGTGTCCCTCATGTCCCCCGTTTTCCTTTTTTTCCTTGTCCCTTGTGTTCCCTGTGTCCTTTGTGTTTCCTGTGTCCCTTGTGTCTTCTTATGTTCTGTTTTTGTGTCCCGTGTCCCCTTTTTCGTTTAAAAAACATGAAGTATTCGGTGGCGTTGCCTTTGTTTCTTATCTGGCGCGAAAACTTGGGGGTTCCATTGCTTCACGTGACAACATGTGGGGTTTTTTTGCACGCTCAGGATGTCAAAGAATGTGATTTTTATGAAAATAAAAAACAACACACAAAGTTCTGCTTTAATTGTTTAAAATTTTTTATTTGATTAATCAACTAACGGTTCACTGATTTATTTATTTGAACCATTACAAACACAGCAATGATTCTTGTCCATATACAAACATATAAATCGCTCCTTCATAAAATGATTAGTCCTGATCACGAATGCGCACTCGTACTTTCATAAGATAAAAATAAGCGCCCATTTATCTTTATAAAAACCCTGCAATCTTCCTTTGAACTTATATTTATTGTTCGATGGTCCACGCAGTCTTAATTCTATCCATAAATGTTTAAATCCAACCTCAATGCACTTAATAGAATTCAATTTCAATATTAACATGAAAACCAAGCGCATACCGGCATTTCTTATATATAAATTGCAATCCCCATTAAGACCCTGTTTACATGGAGTGGGGGACCCCGGTCTAGTGGGGTAGGTTTTTTTGTTTTGTGTCCCTCAGAGCGTGAAAACAAAAGAAACCAACCCCACTAGACCGGGGTCCCCCACTCCATGTAAACATGCCCTTATACACTTAACCTAGTTTCGCAATAAGTTAATTGTTACATAATTATATGCACTTTCTTACTTCTTACATTAGCATTGCAATACCCTCATAGTAAGTTAATTACCAGATTAATCAAATGCGCGCACTATTAAATTTTGCCTACAATACCCAGAAAGACACACACAAGAATAAATACACGGGCTTGTAGGTCAGCAAGGGCCTCAAAGCCAGTTTATTGCAAAACGTCCCTAAGATTACAAAACTGCACTAAAGTACAAAAACCCTATAAGGAAACACGAATCTCAAAGAAAAAAAAGTACGACACCGCCGGATACGAAAACCCAAAACCACTTTGTGGAAAAAAGGGAACGTACACCCCCACCTGCTGAAATCAGCTGCGGTGCCGACAACTCGGGGGCAGAGGTACGCAAAATCTAGCTGCCAAAAGCCTATAAACAAATACAACAACAATTGGCAAATAAAATGAAAGTTAGGACCTCGAATGAATGCTGAACTGGACTGATTCAAATTGCAACGTACAACTAAATATATCTAAAAAAGCTACCCACAATTCCTTCTACCGGCCTAGTCCTCTGGTCGCAGTGCCGGCAAAATAGCTATTTCTCTCTCCTCTAAATCTCAGTTTGTTCCAACAAGAAAACACACAAACCTTGGGTGCGGCTTGCTTCAAGCCAAGCGCTCGGTTTATTCACGAAAAAACTAAGATACATGACATATCATAGAAACGTAATATACAATCCAAGTAACATACAGCTCCAAAGAACTAGATCACAAGCTAATTGAAATGGGGTCGTGGAACAACAGCTGGGTGAAAAACCTCCCCGTACGTCCACTTGCACCTAGGAGGAAAACCCCAGGCCAGCTGCACCCCATAAAAAAACGGTCCCCAGGCAAGACCAACTAAATAGAAACTAGAATCAATTAAAAACGGTACGAACGAGAAAATTAATTACCTAAAGCCTTAGAAACCGACAAACGAGAAGATAAAGAATCTTGGACGTACCCGTCCTTAGCTGATTCACTAGCCCAGCGGCCATGACGCCTAAAAAGTCGGTCTGGTACGCCAGCATTTGCGGCAGCAGTAGCCCCGCCGCTCCTAAGGCTACAATACAATATCTTAAAAGGCCTCTAACACTAACTCTCTTAACCGTGAAAAGCTTAAACATTTGGATCTTGGCTTATAATAACCACATTTAGTTTTGGAAAGCTGGCAAAAAAAAAGGGCTATCGAAGGAAAGCCCAGCTCTGTCTAAATAACGGGTTCATCATAGCAACCGGACAAGTTGCTTTCCTAGAAGAAACTACAACAATCCAAGATCCATCCCTACACTGATCAGGTTTACTAGATTGAATGAATAACCTTAACATATCATTTTCGATCTTAACATCGGATCGAACAAGCTTAGCAAGCTCAACAAATCTGAGAAAGGCAGCAAGTAAGCTAGTAAGCAAATAAGAGTCCATTGAGTCCGCCTTGGAGGCAACTAACTGCTCTAACTGAGAGACTGTGATAGGTTCCTTCTTGGTTGTTTGATGGGCCAGCAAACTCTGCGCACCGGCAAGAGTACTCTTCACCAACGGATGAGCAGAAGGAGACGGCTCGCCATCCAGCTGGTAAAACCAGGCAATGCTGTGAACTGCTGACTCCAGGGGAGATGCTGTCTTCGCCTCAGTCATCAAATGACGCAAATATATGGCAAAGTGAAACGGAGAAGTAGGAAAAACTGTCAAGCCATGTTCTCGTGCCCAAGACCTCCATCTGTTGTAAGAAGAAAAATACTTGGCGGAAGTACTGGGTGCTCTGCTAGCCAACGCAATATCCGGAAGAGAACTTGCAAGGGATTGTAAAACACTGGATCCTTGGGGAACCGCAGCCCGAAGATCCGACCACATAGTAGAGCTGAAAACATCTGCAAAATATAAGCAAAAAGAACACACACACACCCTTAAAAGACAAAAACAAATAAAAATGACCCGAACGCTGGAACAGCAAGACCGAGATGAAAGACAAATCCAGCACGCCCAAATATATACCCTTGTGGTAAGTTAATTACCAGATTAATAAAACGCACGCACTGTTAATTAATAAGCATTGCAATACCCTCGTAGTAAGTTAAGCATTAAATAAATAACACACAGACACTCAATTTCTGATCGCAATCTACTCTTAGTAAATTAAAAGACGTGCATTCTTAATTCTTACATAAGCATTGCAATTCACCTTAGTAAACTTATCACTAAATAAATAACATGCACACTCTTAATGTCGCATAAACATTGCAAGACCCTGTAGTGAATTAATCACTATATTAATAATATGCAGATATTCTTAATTCTTACATAAGCGATGCAACATACCGGTCTTAAATTAATCACTAGATAAATAACACGCGCTCACTTAATTTTTATGATTATCAAACCGTCCTCAACCAATTACTAGATATCAATAACACACGCACTCTTAATATAAGCATAGTAATATCCTCATAGTAAGTTAAACATTAAATAAATAACACACAGACACTCAATTTCTGATATGAGATTGCAATCTAGTCTTAGTAAATAAATTACTAAATTAAAACACGTGTGCATTCTTAATTCTTACATAAGCGTTGCAATTCACCTTAGTAAACGTATCACTAAATAAATAACATGCACACTCTTAATTGTCGCATAAACATTGCAAGGACCCTGTAGTGAATTAATCACTATATTAATAACATGCAGACATTCTAAATTCTTACATAAGCGATGCAACATACCAGTCTTAAATTAATCACTAGATAAATAAAGCGCAGCGCTCACTTAATTTTTGATTATCAAATCGTCCTCAGCTAATTAATTACTAAATATTAATAACACGTGCACTCTTAATATAAACATAGCAATATCCTCATAGTAAGTTAAGCATTAAATAAATAACACACAGACACTCAATTTCTGATATGAGATTGCAATCTGCTCTTAGTAAATTAATTACTAAATTAAAACATAGCATTCTTAATTCTTACATAAGCATTGCAATTCACCTTAGTAAACTTATCAGTAAATAAATAACATGCACACTCTTAATTGTCGCATAAACATTGCAAGGACCCTGTAGTGAATTAATCACTATATTAATAATATGCAGACATTCTTAATTCTTACATAAGCGATGCGACATACCAGACTTAAATTAATCACTAGATAAATAACACGCGCTCACTTAATTTTTATGATTATCAAACCGTCCTCAGCTAATTAATTACTACATATTAATAACATGCGCACTCTTAATATAAGCGTTGCAATATCCTCATAGTAAGTTAAGCATTAAATAAATAACACATACACTCAATTTCTGATATGAGATTGCAATCTATTCTTAGTAAATTAATTTCTAAATTAAAACACGTGTGCATTCTTAATTCTTACATAAGCAAATTGCAATTCACCGTAGTAAACTTATCACTAAATAAATAACATGCACACTCTTAATTGTCACAGAAACATTGCAAGACCCTGTAGTGAATTAATCACTATATTAATAACATGGCGACATTCTTAATTCTTACATAAGCAATGAACATACATACCAGTCTTAAATTAATCACTAGATAAATAACACGCGCTCACTTAATTTTTATGATTATCAAACCGTCCTCAGCTAATTAATTACTAAATATTAATAACACACGCACTCTTAATATAAGCATAGCAATATCCTCATAGTAAGTTAAGCATTAAATAAATAACACACAGACACTCAATTTCTGATATGAGATTGCAATCTAGTCTTAGTAAATAAATTACTAAATTAAAACACGTGTGCATTCTTAATTCTTACATAAGCGTTGCAATTCACCTTAGTAAACTAATCACTAAATAAATAACATGCACACTCTTAATTGTCGCATAAACATTGCAAGGACCCTGTAGTGAATTAATCACTATATTAATAACATGCAGACATTCTTAATTCTTACATAAGCGATGTGACATACCAGTCTTAAATTTATCGCTAGATAAATAGCACGCGCTCACTTAATTTTTATGATTATCAAACCGTCCTCAGCTAATTAGTAAATATTAATAATGCGCGCACTCTTAGTATAAGCATAGCAATATCCTCATAGTAAGTTAAGCATTAAATAAATAACACACAGACACTCAATTTCTGATATGAGATTGCAATCTACTCTTAGTAAATTAATTACCAAATTAAAATACGTGTGCATTCTTAATTCTTACATAAGCATTGCAATTCACCTTAGTAAACTAATCACTAAATAAATAACATGCACACTTGTAATTGTCGCATAACATTGCAAGACCCTGTAGTGAATTAATCACTATATTAATAACATGCAGACATTCTTTATTCTTACATAAGCAATGCAACATACCACTAACCAGTCTTAAATTAATCACTAGATAAAATAACACGCGCTCACCTAATTTTTATGATTATCAAACCAACCTCAGCTAATTAATTACTGTAACATATTAATAACACGCGCACTCTTAATATAAGCATAGCGATATCCTTATACTTAATTCTTACGTTAACATTGCGATCTAGACTCATTTTGACGTGTTATTAGATAAAATTGGTACTAACATGGGTGTTTACTCTATCATTATACCCTTTTTCTTAAAGACGTAGAAACATCAAGCCTAATTACTTACAGTTTTTCAATAATATTAGGTAATATTAGGTAATAAAAACAAGTAAAGCTAAATAATTATCATTAAATCATCTTGTCCTTGCATCATGTTCTTCAGGGATCATCATAGGCGGAGCGTCATCTGCAAAATTTCGAATAGGCAGCTTGGTGAATAGGAATAGAAAAGAGAAGTTGTCACATCACGTTGCCATGGTAGCACATTTTCTGGATGACAACAAAACAAAAAAGTCACTTAAAAAGTTAATTCGCACTGTTTCATACTTCATCGTTCTTATTCAATTTGTCAAATGTTGGCGAAATTTTCTGAAGTTGCATCCGAAAGTTAAGAAAAAGAAAAAAAATTTTGTGTTGTGTTCACCTACTCCAGAAAAAAGACACATGAAATTAGGAAGTTTTTTGTCACAGTTGTGCAACGACTGTTACGAAATCTACAAGAGTGCGATGCACGTGCAGCATTGCTCTTTTGCTATTACTTTTTCACTGGTTCTAATTGTTGCCTTCGCCCTCATCGTTGGTTTAGCTCTCTAATGTTGTGATCCAGAAATTCTGCTACCATGGTAATGTGACGTCACACTTCTTCTCTATATCGCTTTAATTTTAAGGAAACAGGACTGATTTTTAGAACTTCGTGTTTAATGGGGATAAATTGAAGTATTTTCCACAGTGAGCATAGTTTGCAAAAATTGGCCGACCCCTGCCACATGTTCCCCCAAAATGCTCTGATCCCATGGCTGGTAGGATCACAACTATCACTAATTTGTCATTTTCATACATCATTCAAAACCTTTCCAGGGCCAATTACATATATAGAGGAGCAAGGGTGGTGCACTGGTGAGAGTACTTGATCTCCTCCCACCATTGTGGCCCAGGTTCAAATCCTGGTGTCAACACCGCATGTGGGTTGAGTTTGTTGTTGGTGCTCTCCTTTGCTTCGAGAGGTTATTCTTCATGTACTCCAGTTTTCCCCTCCTCTCAAAAACCATCATTTTCAAATTTTAATTCAACCAGGAAATCAAGTGGATGAAGAACCACTTAGCAGATGTGCTACCTCTAAACTATTATTTATTTATATACTTATTTATTGAAAAGTTTCAATGTTCTGAAGATTGTTCTGGTTGATAATCTCCTGGACCCTATAACTTTTATGAAATTATTAGGATCCCGCCCCGGTACAAATGAAAGCTTTGAATAGTCAGGAAATTTCACCGCAGAGTTTGCGGGATTCAGTGGGGAAGCCCAAACCTATTTTTCAGTTGTACTGATAACCACTTTTTGCTAGCATACAATGTAGCTGCTCTTCTGATTGTGGAAATTTCTCTTGCAATTTTTTTACAAAAATGTGCCAAACAACTTTAAAATCCTTTAGATTGCTGATTAAAGTAATGTGACGATCACTGACATCATGAGGGAAATCACCTATGACACTGCTAAGATACTTTCATATACCGGTACCTAATTAAGGACCTGGGCTGGATTGTTCAAAGCAGGGTTAGTGTGAAGTTTAAAATCAGATATGAAAGCTCACAAAGAAAATTCAGTTTAATTCTTTTTGCCTGCAATGTAATGATTTGGTGCTCTGTAACGAACAGACAAAATTATCCAAGAAAATGCTCTTGAACAGAAGAATAAGAAACCCAGATTAACATAATAATATTTTAATCCTGGGTTAGTGCTAAATATATCGGTTTTCGAACAACTGGGCCCTGATGACATTACCTACTGTTTTCTTTGATAATTACTTGCCATAAGTCATCTGATCCTTCCTCTTTTCCTGAAAATAGACAAATACATATACCAGTAAATTCTCTAAACCATTTTATACAACTTCACCCATTTGAACTGATCGATGCCCATGTTGGCGAACCACGTCCCATATACTGCTTGTGGTGTCATCAGTCTTAATAAGTATATACCCAATTAAAGGAGAATTTGTCTAAACTCATGTAACGGTAAGATATCTTTCAAACCGTACCAGAATATAAGCACGGTTAAGTCAAAGAGCCCGGAGAAAAATACAGATAACCATGAAAAGTTGACTTCAAAATTTTGATAAAAGTCTTGTTTTAACTAGTTACTTGAGTGTATCTTAATCTTCCATTTAATCATATGATTATGATGCACTGTCAGATGAAAACTGTGCAGTCTAGAAGCTTTCCCAAAAACTTTTCCTAGGGCTAATTAATTTGCAGCAAGAAAACAAAAACAGGGCAAGAAAAGCAAGAGAATATAAGAGAGGAGATGGAAAGAGCAAAAGGTAAAGTCGAGACTGCTGTG